CAGAAATTACTTGTAGTAGAACTCAGTCAACACAAAGAACTGGAAGTAGAATTCAGGCCCCCCATACCTTTATTTTTTTTTTTTTCAGGTATCTGAGGGATAAGACATATAAGAACCATCTTGATCTTGTTTTTTTTTTTTTTTTTTTTTTTTTTTTTTGTTGTTTTTGTTTTTTGTTGTTGTTGTTGTTTGTTTTGTTTTGTTTTTTTCCTGCAGATTTCAGCCTTCACCTGGAGCAGCACTCCACATATACTACCTATTCTAGTCTCCTTTATTTTTTGGGACTCATGATGCTGATAAATTAAATATTGATTTTAGCTACTGAATTATGATTTGGGGAGTGGTTACTATTGAAATTCATTTTCAGTCCCACTCAAATCATAAACCCAGAAAGCAGAATGAAGTTCCTTAAGTTTTCTTCTCTAATAATTTATATTTCTCATTTAGTCTACTTCAGTTAGGTATTTCAATATCCATCCATATGAATGTCACCTTGTAAAAAGTATTTGAACAATCCAGAAGCCATTTACACCTTAGTGAAGTAGCCTTATTTTTCTGTGAGGCAATTATGTGAGACAAACAGAAAGCAACTCCATAGTGGAAACCAGCCTCAGGTTTGCACTGTCTACTATGTTACTGTTCATCTCATAGCAGAATTAGACTGTTGAGAAAACAGTCTTCTTAAAAGGTAATTAATATGTCATTTGCAGACACAGTTCTCAACTTTTAAGACAAAGAACATGAATGAACATACTCATAAGATTCTTGCTTTGAAGGAAAGAAAAAAAGTGGAGATAGAATACATCTAGAATAGCAGAGAGAGAAAAAAAAGTTTTGAGAGACAGTTTGAAGAGTCTTTCAGCTAAACCCAAAGGACATTCAAGAACTGGGAGATGACTATGATAACAATAATAATAATTTAATAATAATAATAATAATAATAATAATAATAAAAGCATATTAACTGAGCTCTTTGATCCCTGTGCATGTGTATCTCCAGAATTACTTGCCCACTCTTTGATGGGAATTGCTACACCACGTAGTTGGAATTCCCTACCAAATTCCTTATCAAAACTAACTTTAGACCCAAGTAAGTCAATGAAGAAACTACAGGAAGAATAGAAATTTGGTTAAAGTACCTGCTGGAGCTGTCAGTCCCTCTTCAGTGACTAGGCAGCTTATAAGAACTACTTTTCCATGTCAGAAGTGTCAGAAGTCTGCCTTTGGTAACAACCACTAGAATGAGCACAAGAAACCATGGCAGACAGTCTGAGCAGAGGTGGAGGTTGTACCCTGCTAAGGTACAGAGAAGCTTAAAGCTCAAGGTGCTCAGTGCAGCTGAAGTGCAGCATACTTCATCCAGAGGATAAGACAGCAATCAAAACTGGAAATTGTCTTTCATGTCCTTGAAGCACTTTTGTTATTCTGGCTGGCCTATAATCTCAGTATGGGTAACATAGTTTGAAAGAAGTCATGGAACAAAAATATCTTTAAGTTATTGTGTGTTACATTAAGTAAATTATTCCTTCTGTTGTTATGTAAATAGGAGATGTTGAAATCTGAAGAGCACTCTTTTTTAAGCAGCAATATACTGAATAATGTAGAAAGGTTTTAAAATGAAACTCCTTGATATTTCAGCAGTTTTAGATGCTTCAATAAGTCTTAAAATTGATTTGTGTTGAAAGTATGTCTCTCAGTCTTTCCTTGATTTATATCAGATAATGTGTGTAAGTTATATATGTTTATATAGAGAGCAATATACATGCTTACATATTGAAATGAAAGGGACTATGGGAGTGACATATATTTGAGAAACCTACAGAGAAAAATGTATGTAGTTTGCAGTTGAGGAAAAAGTAGTAAATACGCAGGAGGATTGCAGAGAGGAAGAACTCCTACCTCAGGAGACACTCTGCCCTACTTTCTTTTCTCACATTTTGAAATCTATGAATCTTTTACTTGCTTTATCACTTTTCATGATTCCCCACAGGCCAAAACTGACAGCTAAGCTGTTTTATCTTAAAGTATTCAAAGCATGTTGGAAAATTACTGACCCTGCTGAGTCTGAAAGTGGTTGCATGATTGCAGGAACCCACCTACTGGTTACCTAAGTCCAGGTGATCATCATTGCTTGAGTTAAATCATAATAACAATAACAGAACATCTGATAGATTGTTAAAATATATTTTACTGCTTTCAGTTGAAGACCAGAAACCAGGTTGACACTTTTTTTTTCTTAAAGTAATTATTTATGTTTTAAGTCACTATGATATCAGTACCTAAAGATAGAATTAATTTTACAGCATTATTAACAGCTGTTTTCTATATATACAGGGTCAAGCAGTTGCTTTGCCTGTAACACTTGACTGTTTATTTTTTTGATCTGTCTACTGCCTCCAAATATGGCCTTAACAAATCCTTTCTATTTTTATTCCACTGAGCTTCTAAGAATTAGCTTTACAGAGTACTGTTGTCGTTACATTCAAACACGACAAAATGCAGGGATAAGGTGAATTTAGCAGCATTGATATGTCTAAAAATAGGGTTATACTGGAATTTCTACAGAAATTCTAATTTATTGGTGCTTAATTTCTGCTGAAAACTGTTATATCTCAAACAGGCATGTGTGATGAAGCAAAATAAAGCATGATAGGAACTGCTGACTATGCTCATCTCTTTCATGAAATAACATGTTTGTGTGCTGCCTTTCATCTTCAAAATCTTACATTTCCATTACTATTTATGAGAACTGGCATACAAGTAACCAGTACATGAGATTATTAGATTTAAATTCATCTGACTGATAACATTTGAATCCACATTTTACACTTCTCAAGAGGAAGCCACAACACCATTCTTTGCTCATATTATCTCTTGGAAGATAAGTGTTTCTTTTTGGATATCTGAGGAGAAAGAAAACACTAATGCTAGGCACAGATCCCTTTTGTTGTTGCAAGTTATCATTTGATTTTGTGCTAGTGAGAATTTTTGAAGGAAAATAGTTGGTGTTGTCCTCTTAGTTCACAACAACCAGATCTGAAGGAAAAAAAGTTGGAGGAATTATGAATCCATGAAGGTCTGGAAAATCCACCAAGTGGATTTTTCAGTTCACCCCATTATACTGAGATCACAGGAGATGTAGATGTATTATTACCATCATTTACACATATTTCTTAATTTTGTGGGATAAAACATTTTCCAAAGGCTCTCAAAAGTCAGCAGGAAGTTTCTGGATATCTTTAGTCACATGGTCTGAACTTTTGGGTAGACCTGTGCGGTGTCAAGAGTTGGACTTGATGATCCTTAAGGGTCCCTTCCAACTAAGGATATTCTATGATTCTATGATTCTGAATCTTTGCTTACCATATTGGCTGAGTTCTAGCTTTTAGCCCTACACCCATGAAAGTTGGTAAGCATTCTCTACAATGCACTTTTTTTTTTCTTTTTTTTTTCTTTTTTTTTTTTTTTTTTTTTTTTCCCACTAGCTTTATTTACTTATTTATTTTAATTTGATTGTGGTTTTTTTTTGGCACAGCTGGACTCACTATGCAGTGCAAACATGGGCATTGGGCTTCTCTTTGGTTTACACTAGCAGAGCATGCAACATCAGAGACGTACTTGCTAGAAATATATACCTTGAAATGAGAAATAAAAATCAGTTATATGGTCTTTACAAACAATTTTAGATGCATTGGAATTTTACATGATTCATATTATTTACTGTAATGTCTTTCTTTGTTCTTGTTATAACCCGTCTTGGCCAATTTAACTGCCAACTGAAATTTTGGAATTACTGAGTTCCATGAATCCTCATCAAGACTTTTTGGTAATTAAGGTTAATATGAAGAATGAGACTCGAAAGATAGTAGGAAAATAGGACTCTTTGCCTTCTTTCTAAATAAACATTGCATTGCAAAATTTACTGTCTAAAGACACTTAGGTAATGCAAGTTTTCATTAACATCCTTGCTCTATAACTTTATCATGGTTTCAGATATCAGAGATGCAGTGAGAAACTTGGATGAACTTGGATGGGGTTGTCTTGGATAGGGAAGTGGTATGCAAGCCAGTGTTGAGTTACTTACATTAGTTTAATTAACTTTACTCACATATCATAAAAACATTAAGAAAATAATAATCAGAAGGTCAATTGGATCATTTATGTGTTGTTCATCAAAGTACCATTCATGGAAGTAATTCCAAGATAATTCATTGCTCCTGCTCATAGCATTTCTGTGGGTCTTGACTTGTGCAGATGGTACAAGCACTTTGTGCACCATTTGAAAGCCCTTGGCATCTTCTGACAGGTATGCTGCATAATTGCATCAACAATATTTTGGGGAGACTTCTCAAAAAAACAAAATATGATCACTAACAATATGGATGTGGGGAGAGATTTTCCAAGTGCAAACTTCATAATGTGAAAGCTTGGGGTACCAAGTAATATGTTTTGATTTTGCATTACCAAGTAATACATTTTATATTACATTGTATTATTAAGTAATACAATTTGATTTAGTTACAGATTTTGACAGTGCCTCACTTCTCAACTGTAAAAAAAGGAACAATAATTTTCCTAAATTACTAAGGCATAGGATACAATTTCTGTCTTATGAGCATCATGCAATTAATTAAATGCTGAAGGTACTAGTCTCCTTACTGGATGGATAGATCTTTCAATGAACTGATGAAACAACTGATGCTGCATGAAAATGATAAGCTATGGATCATCATAGGAGAAATTCACTTCAGCAGATGAAAAGTTCTGTATCATGCAATATTGCCTGCTTGGATTTGTGGTAGCTGCTGTTATTGTTTCTCTACAACTGGGCTGTGAGAAGGGGTTTCAGTGACATGAGTAGCAAGGCAGAATGTTTTAAAGAACATGCTTTTTTTTTCAATTTATTTTGCTGAGAAGAAATGTAAAATAAAATAAATAAATAAATAAAACACAACAACTGTATTTTAAAATATTCATTTATTTTTCTTTCTTCCTTACAGCTTGTGGCCAATGCAATCCTTTTTGTCAGTGTAAATTTGTATGGGGTCTTTGTGAGGATTTTGACAGAAAGGGCTCAGAGGAAGGCATTCCTTCAGGCCAGGAACTGCATAGAGGACAGGCTGAGGCTGGAGGATGAAAATGAAAAACAGGTCAGTTTCTAAGACTTTTTTCTTTTTCTTTGTTTCTTCTGAGATCATTATAGTTATATGAACTGGAGGTCAGGACATTGCTGCTAAGTGCATGATAGGAAGTGTGTGCTTTCTACTGTGAAGGAAGAATGCTTCCTCCCCTGCCTGCGTTAGTTCTTTCTTCTCAACGCATGCAAACATTTCACTCTTCATCACACGTAAAAGGTACAGCCTTACCACACAGCTACCATAAGCTCCAACACCAGAGTGGATGTTTTTTAGTGCTGAGGAAAAGCTAACAAAGTACTGCATATTACTATATATATGTATGTATATTCCCCTCTCTCCCTCCCTCCCCCCAGTTAATATTGGGTAGGTGTTAGGTATGCTGTAAAAATTCTCTCTTGACTGTGTGCTATATCCTGTTTACATTCATGACATGTAAGAACAAAAGATGTCCTTACATTTTGGGGAGAAGGAACTACATATATATATGGATAAGAATCATAACATTCTATTAAGCCACATTAATTAATTTGATGTTTTATTTCACACAGTTGAATCAATCAGTCTTCCAAGTAGTTTTGGAAATGATGAGAAAAACTGCTATATTGCAGAGCTTTCTGTTCAGAGAATACTCACAGGTTTGAATCTTAAACCCACTAACAGATGTTGATTCTGTAAACTTTGAATCAGTCTGATTTTTTCTGTCTGTGTGATAACAGAGGTACATGCTTTGCAGTTCTGAAGCTCTTTAGCTTCATTGACTTCTGTGGAATTATGGTAACTTGTGCCAATAGAGGAGTTAAGTGGTATTCAAACCTTACTATAGAAGATGTCAATGTTCTCAAAGCATGAGTGCTTCACGCACTTCACTTCCAATTTCCTATATTGAAATAATGTAGGTGCTTAAGAACTGTCCTGATATGGATTTAGTGAATGCATTTTTATGACCTAAGCGTACATAAGTAGATGTCTTCTTTAAACGAGTTTATATCTTTGGTGGCTGTATAAGAATGGCATTAACATTAAAGACTTTAGGTTTGATTCTGGGCTTTTGTAATCTCAAGCTGAGGATTTTCAAAGGCATAAATGTGCCAGAAGTTGAATTTCATGGGGTTTAGGCAACTGTTTGCCATTTATACATCTGAAAACTTGTTTCAGAGATCCAACATGATCCAACATGAAATCATACTTGACTTTTTGTTTCTATATTTAGAACATTAACATTATATTTTATTTTATATTTTATCCATGCATAGATAAACATAAGAAAGGAAAAAAAGCCTTATACATAACTACCATTACTGTTTATTGTTTATATTATAAGCCAAGAATCCTGTAAATCACTTTCCAATGCAGTATAAAGGTCAATGAAGAGAATTTGCTTTTCTCCTTTATGTGTGAAACTAACTTTATGCAATATGCATAAAACTCAATGCAGTTGTGAAATATGCTAATGAGATGACAAAGTATCACTGAAATACCTTCTATGGCTGCTTTTGCACTACACTAGAACACTTCTGAAATCAAGGTAAGATTTACCTGATTTCAACCTTAATCCATAGTTTCTGTAGAATAACATAGCCTAAGTTTCCAGTTATTTGCCAATATTCAAGTTTTTTGTTGTTGTTGTTGTTGTTTTTTTTTCCTGAGGATAAAAAGACTTTCTGACCTAGTTCAATAGTTGTGATCATTCATGTGCTTTTGTTTTCTGAGCTACAAACAATAAAATTTAAAAAGGATTAAAATTTATTATCAGACTTTCTTGTCTCATTCAAATGCTCTGACCTAAATAGCATAGCGCTTCTACATTGAAAATTGTAATCAAAACCATTAAAACCTTTCCCTGGTATTTCTGTGCAAGTCTCTAATGAGAAAAGAAAGAACAAACTCTTGGCTTTTGATCATAAACAGCATTTTGGAGTTAAAGTGTTGACTGTGTGAGACAGATTCCACAGTTGCATCTGTAAATGAGATTTCTTCTTCTGTGTCCTACTTACAGTGATTGTCCTCATATGGAATGCATTTGTAGTAATAGTCCCTTGCGATAATTTTGCTAAATCTATTTTTAGGAGCAAGAGATCATCACGTATACCTCATGTTGTAGTGTTTTTAGAGTCATTGTGCAGGAGTTTGTAGAAAGGCTGTGAAAGAGGAGTGTTGCTGGGGAGAAGGAAGCAGACTCTTTGTTGTGTGTGCTTTTGTTTGTTTTTGTTTTTAATTCAGTTTAATGTTCATTATGTTACCTGTTCTCTGTGGTCATGAAAAATAACTGCCCTCCATTGTGGAATCACCTATTTGTTATGTTGATAAATGATAGTTTACAAGTCAAGAGTAAGACCTGAAGCCAATGTCATAGACAAAGTACGCTTTAGAACAGGAGTGACTAATTATAATCATTTTGCTGAAATAGTTGTCTTCTCTTTTTTTTTTCTACAAATTTCAGCAGCAACACTATTCTCTGCAGAGCAGGCAGTTGAATAAATATTGTGAGGTAGGTCCTTTTCCCTGTAATTGGAACTGTGCTTCGTTGTTCCTATTCAATCAGAGCACCTGGGTACTTCCCTTTTATTCCCACTGCACTATATCTTTGTGTTCACTTCTTAATTTAAGACAACCCCTTACCTATATGCTAAGCAAGTCGTCATCACCTTGCTCCTTTGAAGACTGTGTTAAACATCCCTACCAATCCTGAAAGCAATTTCCACACAGTGCTTCATCCTTTTTGAAGTGAGCAAGCAGGAATGGAGAATGGGTGGGTGAAATGTTCAGCATAGAGTAGTGATCCGCTACTGATATAGGGTGCTTCCTACTTCATTCAGAGGGGAAAACAGACAGGAAACTGCAACTCATCATGTCACACTCATTCCCAGTGTGGTGGCTCCACAGTGTGCCATAACTCCAAGAAAGTGATAATAGTGTAATTCTGAAGGCCCTTTTAAACTGAAATGTAACTTGATCACTGTATTTAAAGGATGGTAGCATGCCCATTTTCCATTTTTCTAGTCTCTCTTTCAGTGTATTGAAATAGAGTTTTGTCATCCACAAGAATTTAGACCTGAAAAGACCAGAGTAATACCTGAAAATACCAAGACAGTTTTGTCCTCTACACAATTTTGTGATAGTGAACTTCACTCTAATTATGCATTGTGAAACAGAACTTAATTTTGTTTGTTAGAGGCTTGTTATCTAATGATTTGTCTGGGTACTTCTCAACTGTTCTTTTGTGATAAATTATGAGTAGTCGTTCTAAAATAACCTTCTGTGTGACTGTCATGGTACTGTAGATTACTCTCATAGCCCTGTTCATCTCTCTTTCCAAGCTGAACTGTAGCCTGTTTAGTCTCTTCCGGTATGAAAGTTATTTCCTACTCCTAACCTTGCTGATTTTTTAAAGAATATTGCTCTTTTGTTTTGTTTGCTTGTTTTCCCTGATAATAAGAATATTTTTATGTATATTCATGCACTGGATTTGGGATAAAGCATATAATTTTCAACAGTTAAATGCACTTGCTGCAGCACAAGCTGATATGAAAAGTTCTTGTTGTTTCTATATGAGGAATACTGGAAAAAAAAAGAAGAATTTACGCAAACCTCCCAATCCCACAAAATAGCTTTGATGTCTTTACTGGTTTGGTACTGCAGAAGTACATGTAAATATGTTTAGAAAAGAAGGCCATTTTTCAAGCAACTCGTGCAGATCATTTGTTTTATTTTCCATCCTAAAACTTTTGCATTTGCTCCTAATTAGAATGTGATGATGGGGGAAAAAATGAAGGGGAAAAAATGAAGGGGAAAAAAATCATCTTGTCATGAAATTATTCTATACTCCACTACAATGCATGAAGCAATTTTATTTCAGCCTCTAGCATTAGAAGCTGAAAAAAGGACCAAAACCCAAGTGCAAGGTCCTGTACCTGGGTCAGGGCAATCCCTAGAATGAATACAGGCTGGGTGGAGAATGGATTAAGAGCAGCTCTGAGGAGAGGGGTTTTGTTTGACAAGAAGCTGAAAATGAGCCGGCAGTGTTCACTTGCAGTCCATAAAGTCAACAGTATCCTGGGCTATTTCAAAAGAAGCATGATCAGCAGGGCGAGAGAAGTGATTGTCCCCCTCTACTCTGCTCTCCCCACTGGGAGTACTGCATTCAGTTCTGGGGCCACCAGCACAAGAAGGACATGGTTGTATTAGAGCAAGTCCAGAGGAGGGCCACAAAAATGATCAAAGGGCTGAAGCACTGCTCCTACAAAGACAGGCTGAGGGAGTTGGCGTTGTTCACCCTGGAGAAGAGAAGGCTCCAGGGAGACCTTATAGTGGCCTTCCAGTACCAAAAAGGGGTCCTACAAGAAAGCAGGAGAGGCACCATTTATCAGAGAGTACAGTGATAGGGTGAGCTTTGGTTTAAAAACAAAAAACGGTAAATTTACATTAGACATAAGAAAGAAATTCTTTACTCAGAGTGTGATGAGGCACTGGATCAGATGGCCCAAATAAGTTGTGGATGCCCCATCTCTGGAATTGTTCAAGGCCAGGCTGGATGGGGCTTTGAGAAACCTGGTCTAGTTGAAAGGTGTTTCTGCCAATGTCAGGGGGGTTAGAAAAAGGTGATCTTTATGGTCCCTTCCAACCCAAAGCACTCTATGACTCTAAACTACAGGGAGTTAGGATGCACTGGACAGACACAGGCAGTTCTGTGTTCTGCCCTCAGGGACAGAAGCATAGCACTCCAGCTAGAGTATACTAGAGTATACTCTGTTATACTTTGTTAGTATAACACCACAGTTCTTCCTAGTACTAGAACAGTGCTAGTTCTGGGAGACAGACTAGCATCTCCGTGTTGTTCTGAAGTGCTTCTGTATACATTCACAAGATCATTTGAAGCTAGCTAACTACATTCTCTTTATGCAATGCTGAATTGTGCATACAAATGTCTGTGAATGAAAGTGTGTGTTTTAAAGTGTCTGCTGCATTTTAGAGCAATATGTTTAGCATTCCATATAATAACTGGGACATCACTA